TTTTGCTTTTAATTTTTCATGTTGTTGCTAGGAAAAGATCTAAGACGAATAAAAAAATGAAAAAAATAAAACTAAAAATTAACACTTTTAAAAGACATTTCTAAAGCATCTATTCATATTCAATACACTCAAATCGCAGATCTTTCAGAATATAAAACGTTTACGAATTTCTTGTCTACAAAAATTTCTGTTGTTTCCTCTGTTCTAAACTTCATTTCCTGTTTTTCTTTATTTTTTAAATTTTTGTATCGCCGAGTACTCGGTTCAAAATTTGTAATAATGATTTTTAAGTATAAACAGATGCTCATAAGAGCTGTGTAAAACACTGTTGTCTTCAAAAAGTTTCGAAGAAAAAAGCTTAAGAGTGGTCTATGTGAAAACGCTGATAAATGGCTAAACTTTCCACTTTTTCAATTTTTGATTTTGGTCGTTTCTCCGTTAGAAGAAGACCATCCCAAGTAGCTGGTTTTTAAAACTTTTTTCTGCGTCTTGTTTGTAACAATTCTTCGACGGTTTTTTCAAGGGCTATTAAACGAACGAAAAATTAAGACTGCTATCGAGAGAAAGAGCAAGACACATAGTGTAAAAATTAAAATAGAGTACGAAAATACTTTTCTATATAATCTCCCAAATTTATGCGTTAAGATGCTGAGTAGAAAGTATTTGAGAAGTTCAATTACCGCGCCAAAGTTTGAGCTCTGCAACGTTTTCTTGAAAACGCCTATCGTGGCGCGTAAATGTTGTGTTCCTCTGTTTTCTTCTTTATTCTGCCTTAAATGTTGAAGTCAGTATCAGAGTACGGCTACCAGAACGGTCTCAAACAGTTTTGTCTCACATAATCACGATTATTTGGTTTGCTTGTAAAACAATGGAATAAAAGGAGAAGGTAAACTGATTGAATTGTAAGAAGACCAAAAATATTGAAAATTCTTAGCTTCCGTTGAAGTCCTGTATTATTGGAAGAGAGCAAGCTGTTCTCGCTGGGAAAATTTACCCGACAAATGTAAGTTTTGAAATCAGCATAGAGAACAGGAGTAATGCGTCGTTTCAAGTTTTTTCAACTTCTCAAAAACTTGATTTTCCGGTCAACTTCAAAGTGTTAAATAATGTGCTGTACCTGGCAACTTTATTTTTACTGCATGAGATAGTAACAAATGCTGCTGAAACCACGAAAATTACATTTGTGGGACTCAAAAGTCAGTCAATCAAGCCTTTTTCTTTTAAAGTGGCGAAGGGAATTACAAATATAAAAGAGTGTACAAACATATGTCTTTCAAAAAACTATTCCTGCTCAGCTGTCAAATACATTGGCGGGTAGTGTATTATCTGGAAATATGTTGTGTTTGCAGAAAAGACGACTCTATCTGCAAACTTATATCTAAAAGATACCAGTAATACTATTTGCGCAGGGAGTTGTTACAAAAAAAAGGCTTTAAGAGAGCTAGGTAAAAGAGAGAACAGTTATGACCTACAGGGTATCTTTATACGCACCAATGCGCGAAGATAAAGCGCTGTGAAAAGTTACA